CAATTACTGACCTGAGCAGGACCGTAGGTTGTCGTGGGAAAGCACCAGTCCATGCCATGGCTTAAGCGATTAAGCGAAGCGAGTGAGATAAATATCCACCTAATCTCGGATCAGGATTCTCAATTTTCTCAAAAAGAGAGCAAACCGAAAGAAAAGAGCTGTCACGACAGGCTTCAATAAGTAAATTTAGAGGCAATTGGTGAAAAGCACACCGATTGAACGAAAGATGGTGGAACAAGGCGAATCTCGCTCCACATGAATCATTATTATCATCATAATCAGCACCAGTATGATCAACTGCAGCAAAAACAACAGCAAAAGCAACAACATTACCAACAACAACAACAGCAACAGCAACAGCAACAGCAACAAAAGCATTGTCGTCGTCATCATCATCATTAATCATTTATCATCATAATCATGATCGTCATAAATCATTAGTCACCATTATCGTAATCAGCCATGATAGTTATAAATCATCAATCATCATCAAAGTCGTCGTCGATCAATGATTGATCATCATCAATCACGATAGTTACCATCAATGTTCTTAGCAAGGGCCATCACTGCAATGTTCAAAATCCACGGTTAAATTTCTGGGTATGGTGTTGGATTTTTTAACCTTGTTGGAAGGCAGAAAGCAGACCATAGCAAACGATGCGTGTTCTTTTATTTACCTTTTCGTCGGAAATGTATAAAAATAAGTCAACTCCGGTATAAACGAGCTCTTTAATGAAACTGCGTACCTATTTGGAGACGGTGGAAACAACTATTATGTTGGGGGGGGGGGGTTACTTTCTATTCTATCCTATTGTCAGTTGCATCGACGTAACGTGATCAGATTTTTCCAATAACGTCACATATTCTCATTATTTCGGGTGACTATCCTAGTTTGCAATATTGCCAAGAAATTCAAAGTTTCAGAATTTCTAAATATTTCGCTGTCTAAGAATCTTAAAGATTGAACGGTCACTAATATTCGAAAAGTATCATATTTCACCGCAAGTAATTTTCACCCGAAGTGCTTTAAGAGCCAAGAAACATGGCGGTCAAACGATCAAGAACCGTGAGCAAAGCCATTGGAACCAATTAAACTTAAGCGCTGCATCCAAATCGCGCCTCATTTCAACTTTTTAGTAGATTTCAGAGCCTTAATATATTGTTCGAAGGAAGATCTGCACTTTTGGACTCTAAAGTGCCTTAGGAAATTCTTCTTCTACTATTCTTTTTTCGCTATTGTCGCTCTTCACAAGTTAGCATTACAGTATTCTCTAAGGATTTCGGAGCCCCCATTTTGCATCCTTAACTGGCCAAAAAGAAGGACAAACCCGTGAACCCCCTCTTTGCGTCTGTTCTCCCTTCAAACGGTAATTTCTTCGCTAAGAAACTCTCTTTTGTCGGCGATATGTATCATTAGAAGTGTTTTGCTTTCAAATCCTGTCAAATTGTCAAACGGTCATATCTGAGTGGATTAGTGTTATTTGACGAATGAACCGTTGTACACAAATCAAGGGTACAAAACCTCTCTGATTGGCTTAATTAACCAATTTATTGCAATGCCTCGGCAGTGTGCGGTATTCTTATCAAATTCCTTTTTCGCGCATTGAGAATAGTGAATATCTACGAGATTGTTTCAATATCCGGTATCACTTTTAAAACGTTGGTTGCACGCAATTTTGGAGAAGATCATGTTTTGTTAGCATTAAAACAATGCTGTTTGGGTAATATTGTAATGATGCCATTGTCAGAAGAATGATTGTGCGTCAAACGTCGTGTGAATGTTTCCTTGACGTTTTGTTTCTAAAGTCCTCACGCGCGCAAGGAATTTCTTACCGCCAATGTCGCTTCAACAATTTTACTGATCCTGTTAGAGCAACCTTTTGTCAATAATCCTAAACTGTTTATACCGAAATATATGATCTCAAAAGCCTCCTAAAATTTTTTTCGATCTTGAAGGTTTCCCCAAACAGGAACAAAGAAGTAAAAGCAAATGTCCCGAAACTACTCTTTATATTAGTAAGTTTTGATCTTTGACTGCTTAAACTTTATTCAATTGCTGAGAACAGCACTAGAATGATTAAAAGCTCACGAGAAACACCTTTCCACCTTTGACCGTCGTACTGCAATTGAATTAGCCACACGTCGCTATTCCAGTTTATACTGTTACACATCTCTTTACGTTAAACGTGGGTATCACGTTATGCTATATTGCACTACACTTAACTGCATTACACGACAAGGGACTAGATTTTACAATAATACACTACAATACACTACACTACACTATACTACACTATTCTACACTATACTACACTATTCTACACTGCACTGCACTACACTGCGCTGCACTGCGCTGCACTGCACTACACTACACTATACTATACTATACTATACTATGCTATACTATACTATACTATGCTATACTATGCTATACTATACTATACTATACTATACTATACTATACTATACTATACTATACTATACTATACTATACTACACTATACTACACTATACTACACTATACTACACTATACTACACTATACTACACTATACTACACTATACTACACTATACTACACTATACTACACTATACTACACTATACTACACTATACTACACGAAGGAACGATGCACTTCACCTCCAAAACTGAAAATCATGGCTACCAGACGCTTTGCAAGTTTACCCGTCGTACTGGCATTCTTGCTGTTAATGGTATCACCCACAGCTTAAATAGGCGCCTGAGAACAGGACTATAGGCATTTATGGTAGTCCTTTTCGTGCAGGCATAGAAATCATGTGTTTATCTGAGTTAGAATCTTATCAGTGTGGCTTGAGCAAATGATGTCAGATCTGAGTTCTATCGCGTGCAGTTTCTTTGCTCCTTTGAATTTCTTCATATTAAAGGAGTATTTTGTTATCATTTTAACACTATATTGTCAAGATAATTAATCAGCGCAAAGCCAATAATACAGAAGTAATTACGATACATATTCGGGAACCTTACCGTTGCGTGTATAGTCAGAGGTTTAAAAGAGAGCAAAAGATTAGGCTTGGATTCTAAAAGTTATGGTAGATCCCATAAAGATAAACTGTTACTGGTAACAGATCTATTTACGTTACAAAGCAAGATGGTTGCAAGCGGTTATTTGAGTTTTCATCCACCCAGTTTTCGTGCAGATCATGGCAGCTCATGAAAGCAAAGCCCTTCAGACATAACGATCCAACTGGAGGTCGGCATTTTTTGTATGTGAAAAACTTTGGGGATGTTAAAACTGCAGCTCATGCAAGAAGGCACTGATTGCACTTTTTACTTTAAAGCTGATCATCCTGGTCGGTAATGCAAATGGCAAAAAGAGGCCTTGCGAATCAGCCATCCATTATTTGGCACCCTATAAACATAGCGAAATTGCGTGATATGGGGATGTAGATATGGGAAGATATTTTGGCACTCTCATTTTCTCTTAACTCTGTGGAACCACTGGGTTTTTTACATTTATAAAGAAAAATGTAGGCCAGTATTTTTAAAGGATCGAGGTATAGCGTAGTCCCCTACTGCCATAATTCATTTCTGTTTATGATTGTAAAATTAACTTCTCATTAGCCTTTTGATTTTGCTTGTTTTTAAGAGTAAAAGCCAATTTATTTTAATCATACTCATTGGTAAACTTTAAGGCACGCGTTTATAAACACATTTTCTCATTTCAATAGAGTTCCACAATTAAAGACTATTGAAGACCGTACTTTATACTAAAGACCAAAGGCAGGAATCAGCAAAGGTAAGTCTCAATGATCTTTAAAATTATGAAATGATATCGCATATTTCCTTTGTACGGTGATTTGTCTTGGCTAAATCGTTTTTTCATTTTATTCGTAACCGAGTTTGAATGTTTCAATGATTTGTGCCACAAAATTCTCATTTCTGTTTTGGACTTGTTAGAACATTGATTAAATTTCATTAAGATTTCAGTGCTATCTTTTGAGTTTCTTAGAACTTATCGATTTAGAAGTTGCAAAAGACTTTTTCTCTATTAATACCAACCCTTTACATCGGCCAGGATAGAACTTCTACTCTATAATAAAAACCTGTCATGCAATGACCACTTCTTTCATTCTAAACCTTTATTTTTTGTCCTGAAATATGCCATCTGTAGCGAACTTTTCTTAAATATGCCATATTTTGTCTGCGAATCAATTATTTCAAGACACACCCTGTAAATGACATACAAAACATATCACACCTTATTGAAGCAGTAGTTCTTTTAGTTCACATCTGCAACAAAATTTCCTTTATTTTAACGAGTTCAATATCATGCTTGAAGGGCATTTGACACAGGTAGAAGTGGCTTACAGCTACTCGACCACGAGCGGTTGACCAATCAAATTGCGCGCAGAAAAAAACACGTGAACACCTTCCGCTTTTCTGCAAATCGGTGAAATCCTAGAGCAGCACGCAGTGGTTTCACGTGAGCGGTTTTCAAAACCTTTCTCGTGCGCGTACTCTGATCAATCTGGCCTAGGTTATTTCTGGATTCGCTGTACTTATGCATGTCAAATTAAATATCATTATTAGCATAAAGTGTGCAAATTTCTTCTCACAGAAGGTTTGCCTTACAAGCTTTCCCACCATGTGGTTTTTAAAACTAAATAGCTTGGCAATCCTGTCTTCAAGCTGACTATAAACAAACGTCTTTTGATTTCGACTCAAGCTGCGCTGGTCCTATTGCAAACCACCATTTCCTCATGTATAATTTATCAAGTCACATATTATCCGACGTTAATTGTACAACAGGTTAATTTCTTTAATAAGAAGACCATTCAGATTGTCTACACGCTTTCTATTACATCAGGCTAGCGGTAAGATTCGACACTTATCCAGAATAACCCGTTATTTGGTACATTCGTCTTCCATGCCACATTTTGTGCCATGCCGCTTTTCTCCACTGTCTAGTAAGTAAGAAATGTTTGTTTAATTCTCTTGCTTATCCATTCAGTTTATGTTGTGATTTGCTGATATTTCAACTTGACAGCAATGTTTGTTAAACCGTTGTGCATTTTATGCCATTTCTAACTGTTCTCGGTGTATTTAAAGACTCCAGTGCACCATGAACCCAGTGTTTTCAAAGACTCTACATCTAAATTTTTTACGTCTTCACATCAAATTGAACGCTCCTTCTCTTTCTATTAGAAATTCACGTCAATATGTGTCAACTCTTATCCACTTTTAATGCGTGAATTCTTTACGGTTGCTTGCTACACGCTTCTCTTATCAATGCTTGAAAACACGATTTTCTTCATGGCCATTAGACCTATCAACACTTTGGACCTTCTTTTCTTTCTTTCAACTGCAGTGCTTTTCTCAACAAATTACTCATTAAAAGCTTCTTTAACTAAAGCATGCATATCAAAGATTCCCACTGCGCCCCTTTTTTGCTGCCAAACTATTTGATCACTATAGACAAAACTATTTGGCCAGTTTCCTAGTCTAACTATTCCTTCAAATAGCAGATTTGTATAATCTACCATACCTTGCTGACTAATGATTGCTGTTTTATGGTTACCTACAGGGACCAACTTTCCAAGTGCTTCTTGGTTTCTTCGTTAATGTGATCAAAAATTCCCATTGAGCGTCCGAAAATTCGTCTACAATTAGCAAACCTGCTCATCTGAATTCATCATTCTTTTATTAAACTATGGCTATTTTTGGTACTTTTACTTGTAAATCATGTTTCAATGTCTTATGGTCAGCTCAGTCTGAGGATGATTTCAGGCACATTCGTGCAACATACGTTTAGTTAAAAGTTTTGTTTCATAAATATCTACCTCAGTCCTTCGCATAGGTTTTTCCTTTCGTTAATGTCCAATAATTTCTCAAATGGTTTTTAATCCCTCGAAACCAAAGTTACTTCTAAATGTCGCTGCAAAAGGCTAAATTTTCTAATTTTCTATTAGTCAAAACGTAGCTAAAATATCAGATTCCTAATACACTAGGGCTCGAGTATAAGAACCTTTCGGCTGAAGTGTCAGAACTAGGCCTAAATCCGATAAAAACAAATTGTACCGAACATGAGAATCATACTTGCAGGTCACAAAAATTAAAACGTTGAACCTTCCTGCATGAAATAGTCGGTCTATAGTGCCCCATTCATCTATGTAATTAAAAATAAGGCAGTAGATTTTTTTGTGAAAACCATTTGGTAGTGTCTGTCAGTTTGATATCAACATTTGTTCGTTGATCCTCTATTTAGATTCGTGCCCAATTGTCTGCTATATTCAAAATGTTTCAGTTTGTTTGCACAATCACTTGCCTGTTCATACCATTTGAAGGCTTGATAAATAGTTGTTCCTGTCTGTACAAAAATAAGACTGATCTAAGTTCCAGTTAGCTGGGAAGACCGTGCGAAATGTTTTTACCTTGGCTTTAAATTTCCTTTTTTTTATATGTTTCGTATCAAGTTTGCCGTAAGAGTTTTAAATTTAAAGTTTAATGATTGAAAAAACTCTTTTCCGTTAAGTTTTTCGGGAAAATTGAATTATGCCTTGCAGGACTCTTTCCCTGAAATACGATACGTGCAGTTTTAATGCGCAAATGCAGTTAACTTAACACAATTTTCGCATTTTGTTAAAACATGGGTCAATTAACATATATCATAAATATTGCTACCTTATGTATGATCCCTTGAGATATAACGTAAAAGCACTAAATATTTGAACTTCAAATTTCGTTTTCAAGGTTAAACTGTTGTTTGGTAAATTGCAAGTCATAGTTTTTCGAAAAAGTTTTGTCACGGAATGGAAAGAAATCTTTTCTTTTCAACGACCCACGAGAAGAGATTTGAGGTTGTTTTGATTTTAAAGACAGTCTTAATGGTATACCTTTTTGGAATGTTAGCTTAAAGAAAACTAAGAAACGGTGTTGTGCGTCATAAAGCACTGCACTATCGCTTGACTTCGATCAATCTTTCAAAAGTATGACAAGAATGACATTGTTCAAGTTAAAACCTTTACAGAACTAAAACAGCTTTGGACAAAAACATGACTCTATTTACTTTCTCCATACATTAATGTCATTGGTCATATGGATTAAATAGGTCACGCCGGCTGGATTCAAAACATAGGGTTGAGGCATTTGTTGTGAAATATTTTCAATGGTAAAAAAATCGATGAATTCTTTTTATTTCGCAAGAGCTTTGCTCTGTTTCTCTGGATTGTTAGGCGGGAAAACGCCGGAAGGTAAAAGTTTCAATATTCTGGTAAAAGTGAATCTGCCAAATCATGATATTTCCGGAGTTGTAGGATTACTTCAAAGGCATTTCAATTCCCTATTCTTTATCATTTTTTCATTATAAAACCAGTTGATGGGAATGCAAATTGTTATCCTTTTTCAAGTGACAGTTTGGCTTCAACTTTGGCCGACTCCATTCTTAACTTTGGCTACTTCTATACAGAGACTGGCTCAAAAGTCCATATTAGAAATTCTAATGCTTTTTACACATTTGAAATTTTCAAAAATCTAGCTTCTGTGCATTCTGATCATATTTTGAGAATATCTATTTTTGTTGTGCAACTATCTGAAATTCTCTCAAACCTCACGTTTTTCCCACCGAATTCCTAGGCAAATTACATTGATATACCCATCTGGATCTACAGAACAACCGCTGGCAATTGAATACATCTAAAGTAATGAATAACAATATTGTATAAAAAGACTAATTCATGGTGCCTTATGACTGAGGGGATTGTTGTGAAATTCTGTTTCAGCTTCAAAACCGCTCCATTAATTATCCATCAGTTTACTCACAGACTCTGTCATCCTTTTAAGACATAACTTGTGACCATTGAAAACATACATGGTTATACTAAGCTAATTAATGTCAAAATTCTTCAATAAGATTTATAGCTGATGCTTAGGTTGCCTGATTAAAGTGCTTCGTGAAATCAATTCTTTTGCAATGGGAAGCTGTTTGTTTTGGTATGGTAAAACAGCTGGTTAAAACTTTATGCAAAATTAAACATTTATAAATCGCTACCCACGCCTCGCTATATTCGAGTATATTGTTTAAGACTTAGCATAAAACAGGACGTCTGGAGAAAGATCTTGCAGTGGAGGAATGTAAAAGCAATCATGAATAAACGTGTTGCTTTTACTCGATTACAGCTATGCATGTAAGCATGAAAACTGCGATTCGCTATCGATAAATCCCTTTGTGGTTTCTGCCCTCAATCAGTATCCATACCTTTTGGCCTGATCGCTTTCGATTGTACAAGTTAGCCTCTTCTTAATGGTTAATAATTAGACACATAGACTTAAAAACGTTTTTAGTCTTTGTCAATTTTACCAATATAACAGACAGTTTTATCTTGACAGGAGTTAGCAAATTGTTTTGAAATAAAGCTGAATTATTTTGATCTCTCTCTTTTTTACAGTAAAGGATGACGGGCATTCGTTACAAATGTGAACGATGACATGGATCAAGAGCTTTTATTTGAGGGCCCTAACGATCTTGCTTCAAATAACATTGATTTTATCAGGTATGAGATGTTCGTGATATCATTAAAATTGATTTTGTATATCGTGTCGATATTCACTTTGATATGGTGATTATTGATCGATCGATATGATTGATATCCTCAGATGTTTCATGATATGGTCTTGCGTTATATATTCTGTTGTGATTATGTGAATCAGGTTCTGAATGAAAGCGAGATAAAAGTACTATCTGTCCTGAATGCTATTGTTTACGTTCCAGCATGTATTTAATTAATGCATCCAAGTAATGTATTTAATTTTTGTGACGTTACTTTGTATCCTTTAATAGCGATTAAATATTTAGTCCATTTTTATTAATAGTGCCATGCAACATAGAACAGTAAGACATCCAGTAAAACGTTTGTATCTTGGCCTTTCTCGATCAGTGCTACTCTCCCTTGTTGAGAGTAGCCCGGTTTTTTGAGGTTGCATTTTCAAAGTTCTCGTCACAGGAAAGATATTCGGGACAAAATATAGACCCATTTATTATGGTCTATTACAGAGAAATGTCAATAAATAAAGAATTTACTGCCATATTGAATTCTTATCAAAAGTGCATTAATAGACTTCAAATTTTAAAATTCAATTCCCGCAAATAATGAATTCAACTTCAAAAGCTTGTTAAAGTTGCTGCAGATTTTAGTTTCATTATTCTAGTTACAAGCCTGGTTTCTTTTGCAGATGAAAAAGGTAGAGCCCAACCCGTTATACGATTACCACCAAATGACATCATCGTGCAAAATGACAATATCACCATACCGTGTTTAGTTGATGGAGAGAGACCTTTAAATATAATTTGGCAGAGAAATGGAATAAACTTAGATATAAAAAATTCAAATCATTTAACATTGCTTCCGGATGGCCCCCTGATAATTTCGAAAGTCGAGAAGAATAGAGATCAAGGACGTTATCGATGCATCGTTGGCAATTCTGTTGGCAAAGTAGTCAGTAAGGAGGCCGAGATCATCTTCCCATGTAAGTATACTCTTCCCTTCTTTTTCCTGCAGTAAGTAATTGTTGTCTGCGTTATTAACGCGGCTATCACTGTGTATGTATCGGGTTCTTCGCCTGGATTGATTGGTTCATTTTGGTCAGGAATAATTTCAAGCTCTCGATTTTTGATTCGATAAAACTTTTTAATTTGAAGAATAAGACACAACAGCCAATGAACAGAATGAGTAGCTTCTGAATTACAATGTCTTTTGTAGTTTGTTTACGTTTTGCTTAGCAGGTCCCATCTGGAAATAATTTATTTTACGTCAAGATTTTGCTCTTTGAAATATAATTTTTTATATGCTAATTTTTTTTAAATTTGAAATAGAAGTTTTTTCAGATATCCTTTATTTATATGCTTGTTTTTCTACACATTAGCCTTAGAAATTTGTATTAAACGTACCTTGCAATATTTTGCCCCAAGAAATTTCAGAATTAACAAGAATCATTTTGTTTCAACAGATATGGACAAATTTTCCATGCCTGATACTGAGGTAACAGTCAACGAAGGTGACCATGCACTACTGGAATGTCATGCGCCAAACTCATTCCCTGATCGACATATTTATTGGACCAAACGTAGTTCCGAGAAGGGTGACGAAAACAATACATTACATTCGGTAGAAGGAACTCACTACTCAACAAATTCTGATGGGAACTACTTGTATTTTGCTTATACTAAAACGACGGATAGTGGGCAATATTATTGCAATGTTGAGAATCATCATCTTGGAAAGCATGAAAGCAGGACGGTTGAATTGGTTGTTAACCCAGGTATATTTTCAAATTTGAATCTACAGTCCCGGACAAATATGCTTGAGACTTTTCAAGGAAAGCTTATGTTTTCACTTCCCTTTCAAAAATAACTTTTCCCCCTCCCCCAATTCAATGTTGAATGCATGATTTTGAAGGAGAAATTGAAGAACTACAAATCCAACATTGATTCGGGGGGGAAAGGGGGGATTCGAATTTATAGGGGCGATGTAAAGTAGAAAATTGCAGAAATTGCATTTTGTCTCAACAATTTTGTCCGGGATTGTAGCTTGTTTCGGAAAATGAGAAAGGTGTTTTAGTGTAGCTTCACATTTCGTATATTTTGATTTCTTGGTTCCCGAAAGCTATTCTCAACATAATTTAAGATGCAAGTGGATGTTCTTTTTCTAAGAAATGTATTTGTCGACTAAACTGATGTCTTTTACTTCTGCTAGAGATTCAACAGTTCCTCTTTAAGCTATTTTATCAATTTGACTCCCGTCTTAGAATCTCTCTTTTTCCTATCCCTAAGTGCAGGATAATGAAATATCTTCATCAAATGTATTGGTTATCTTCAATTTACTTCCTAAACCATTTATGTACCTTCGGCTTTTGAGTTTTAAATAAACTGCAATAACTTGAGTTCTTTCAAGTATATTGTACGATGTACAGTGATTAATTTTGTATACACAGCTCAAATCGACGCGTTCTTCCATCTAAAGCCTATAAATTTTCAGTAAACAAATTGAGTTTAAATTGGCAGCTGTATTCAATCTTCGCGTAAAAATGAAGTGAAAAGTCAGGAATTCATTATAGTTTATGTCTGAATGGGATTGATGTGACTTTCTTTATAACAGCTTCTCTCGTATTTCAGTTCTAGTCCAGAAGAATACTGCTCCAAGAATTTGGCACGTCACAACGAAAAGAGCTGTTATTGGAGATAACTATGACATTGAATGCATTGCTTACGGAAGGTTAGATATGTGATGGTTAATTCGTTGTCAATTGAGCTTCTTGCAGACATGTAGTTTTGTTTGAATTTTGTGTCGTAAATTTGTGTTCAATTATGAGAAGTTTACCGATATTAAAGTGAAACTAGAATTCAGAATCTTTACGCAAACCGTTATTTTGATTGGCTTTAATATATTGAGCAAATAATTATATAAAAATTTTAGCACTGTCTTTGTTATGATAATTTATCGGCATTTTATTATTCATAAAAATCATTATTATAGAATCTCAAGTTGTTATATTTGAAAAAAGTACATTTTAAGTTACAGGAAAACTGAATGAATTCCATGATTATTGGTATTTATCTCTTAGCAAAAGAAGAGAACTATCCTGACGTTAAAAAATTGTAAAAAAATTCATTAAAACCCCAACAGTCCTACTCTCAGTATACAGGTTGGTCAGCAAGGGTTAAATATACCAAGTTACCCGGCAAATTCAGGCTTTTTTGGGATGTATTTAATGCTTCGTACGATCTTGGTGTTGGAAAAACTTTATTCTTCATCCTCAGCTAAGTCTAAAAGTTCACCCTCACATTGCTTTTTCTTTCTTAGGCCTGTTCCTCAAATTAAGATTCGAAAACGTGACTCAGATATCATTCTTGGATCACGTGATGGAAATAAGAGAATTGCCAAGTTCCGACCGCTTTTAAAGTCAGATATCGGTGCCTATATTTGTGAAGCAAAAAACTCATTCGGACAGTCTGATTCAAGAACGTTTTATGTAACAGGAGATGGTATGTGATTTTGCATCAAGTATTTTGCAATTAAAATGTTTACTTGAACCGGAATTTCTAGTTTTCATGCTTCTGATGTCAGAAGATTATGATTTTTGCATCTATTTCATCAAATGTATCATTTTTGTGTATCTTTTTGAATTATTGAATATAGATTTTAAATTTAGCTTCTGTTATAGGATATGTGTTTACCAATTATAAAAACGAAAGTTTTGTAGCTTAGTTGTAAAAGAGGATTTTTTAAGTTAAAGTCTTATTTTAATAACACTAGTAGCAATTTTTATAACTGGGAATAAGGTGCCAATGCCACTGGTCCCAACATCCGGATTTACGCAAACTTGTCATTTTATGATTTTTGCTCTTCTTCAATAAATTCTCTGCAAGCTTATATGAAACAAAATGTATTTTACCCATAGAGAGACCACGCTGGATTGTCCAACCAGAGGACACGTTGGCAGATATCAGCGAGTCGAAAACTCTTCACTGCTTGGCCAGCGGGTTGCCTATGCCTTCGTACACTTGGTTTTTCAATACAAAAAGAATATTCACAGGAAAGGAGTATACGGTAGCTGGTGGAAATTTGACGATATCCCCGATCGAAAAACTGCACTCTGGGATGTATCAATGCAGTGCGAAAAGTATCCATGGAGAGTTGATGTCGTCTGCAAGATTACAAGTCATTGGTATGTTTATCTTTCGTTTTTCATATATGTCTGGTTGGATTTTTTCATAATAATTTTAGCTTCCCTAGAGGAATTTTATGGGAATTTGGGAATTTTAACCAAAGCTAAAATATCTGACAACATTTTATATGAAATTGATATCAATTTTGATTCTCGAGTAATATTAGAGTATTATTACTCGTGTGAGGTTAATGTCACCAAAGTAACTCTATACTTGAATAAACACAACAATTGTTGCTTTCATCTTTCTTTTAGTATATTACAGTGCATGTTTTTTATTTGAGTGCTCCTTGTATTTTATCAGTATATGTTTAAAAGTTAGACACCTTAGCTCTCTACCAGCGATCTTCATATCTAAGTATCTTTTTCAAAACAGAAATTCCAGCTGGTTTCGGACCCGGTAGCGTCTCACCCTCTAATACCCACGTGCTGATAGGTGGGGTGGCTGAAATCACGTGTAGTCCAATAGGCTCACCAAAACCTTCAATTCGTTGGCGAAAGAGCGATGCTAATGGTGAAAAAGAGGTTCTCAGTCAAGGGAGAACGACAATTTTACCAAATGGTAGTTTGAGGATTGAGAGAGTTGTATTGTCAGATCGGAGTAGATACAAATGCTTGGTACGCAATAGCATCGGTTCTGCGAGTAGAAGTGCTGAATTGTTTGTCAGAGGTACGTAAATTGAGTTTGTTTCCCAGTATTTCACATTTTTATTCTATCATATAGCCATCTTTCCAAATGATCCCCCCTTTCCCTCCTATATCGTTGATTTTTCTTATGTAACATTGGCTAAATTGTTCTAAAGCAGGTAAAATGATGTTATTGTGTATAAAAAGCTACCTTTATATGTAGCAATAGTAGTTCCTGCTAACCGCCAAATTGAAATTGTATTTTAAGATTAAGTTTATCATATCATCTCTTTGAGAAAATTAAGCTTTGTTTGGCAGCGTAAGGGCCCAAGAAACAGTTATGAAAAACCATTTCATGTTCTTTTAAATTCTTTTTATACTAATATTGGACCGTTGCTATAAAAGGAGGGGGAGAGGCTTCAAAACCTTCGATGTATGCCCTATTTGCCGTTAACAAAGGCGTGGCCTTTGTAGTGTGTTTTGTGTTGTGGAGTTCACTTTGTATATATGTATATATCATAGGACAATTGCCTGATGATCGCATTAAGCGTGAAACTTGGAGAAACAACCGTCCTGTTCTATGCACCAAATAGCTAGTACAGCTCTGCCTATACGGTGTCGAGCACTTTATGACAGACCGGTAGAGAGTTATTTTTTATTATATACCATAGTAAAGTAAACATATGTATATTTTGCTTGTTGCACTCATACTCTTATATGTTGTTCTGTATCTTTACATTTCAGCACGGATAGCAATCACAAGACCACCTCAGTCTGCTACGGCCAAAGTCGGCACAAGTATGAATCTGACATGTGGAGTGGAAACAGCAAATGTATTAGAAGTCTTTTTCAGATGGGAAAAGAACTTTGTTAGATTAATTGAAAATACCCGTGTGTATACGAAAAAAGTCGGAACGCACACGTCGGTTCTGCATTTTGCAGCCTTGCGTATGACCGACCTTGGAATGTACAAATGTGTAGCAATGACTACTGGAAAAATTGGTTCTACGGACACAGCTGAGGCGTACCTTACAGTCACAGGTTAGTGGCTTATCTTTGAATTCCGGTGATTTGCAGTTATTAAATTAGGCCAAAACTTCATATTGACTATTTTTGAAAGACAGCTTCTGTGGCGAAAACACCATTTTCAAAAGAGCTTCTACTGAAATTCGAAAATAAATATTTCTTGGTTTTTCCTTGCGCTCATTATATCTGACTATTTATTATAGTTTAGAGATGACATCATTAGATCGAAGCATGCTCAAAGTTGTCCTTTGATTGAAAAATTTAGTGTCAAGAAAATCTTTGTTTAAGAATAAACTTGAACTCTAGCTGCCTCTAGGACTATCACAATTGGTTGTGAAAATTCCTTATTATTTTACTAATACCTCTTAATAAAAGCATCATTTGCATATGTCAATAAACAAAGGTTTGTATACTTTTTCTTTAAATGTCTTTTTCGTATATTTTATTTATGTAAAATTGTATTGATGTTTAGAGCTTCACCCCTCTCTTCGAAAATATTTGCTCAAAGTAAGTTCTCTTTGAGACGTTTGCTCAGCTGCGATGCAGTTCTGCTCACATTTCGTGCTGCTGGCATGCATATTCAGTTTCAGAGGGGTGAAGGTTCGCCTGTTGTTACTGCTCATATCCTACTCCTTTTAGCCATGTCTGTCAGAAGGGTGGCCCTTTTATGGAACACATTTCCCCAGGAGACTGATCGCATTATACTCACTGTTTTCCTGACGCTACCTAGTTTGCATCGACATACTGCGAGGCAGAGTTTAATTGCGATAAACACAATGACAGTTTATCAATGCGTGCGCGCTGGTCGTTCTTTCAATGCGCTGGTGATTTCAAACTTTTTGTTCCGTATGCCAGAAGTTGTGGCTTGCAATTATATATAAGGTTTTTAGTAAAATAGATTTTTCATCAGAAGAATCTTGTTTTGAAGTAGTTTTAGCAGCTGTAAAGCGTGATAAGGTCTAACAATTTGTCTTTCGAGTGCAACTTGAACTTAACAAATAAAAGATTCTACTGAGTTAAAAAACTTTTGCTGAATCGTTTGTTTTTATCAAAGAGGTTTGTCCTACAAACTATACTCAATTTTGCAAAGCAGTAAGATGTTAGGGATAAATACACAGAACCTTTTGCTATTCTCAAAAGCAGTTTTTTAATAATGACCACAAATATTCATTATGTTCCGAATTCTAAACAATGACGCACGTTTTAAAAGGATTCATTAATTATGTCAATCGCCAATATACACGTCCATCCTCATGTCATTCGGCCGTCTTTATCAACCTTTAAATCTCGTCAATGTCTTTCCCGTGAGTGACTAGACGCTTTTTTAAAAGTTCAAGCTATCTAGCTTTGCTTCCTATTAGACATATTGACCGTGATGCTTAGCGCAACAGATCAAATCTATGTGAATATGCTTTGATACTAAATTGATCAAGACCGTGAATCTGGTATTCTATCTAGGAGATGCCGAGGTTCAAACTGATAGTGTTTTTACGTGACATCAATGATGTTCAAATGATTTTATATTATTCAAATTCTTTGAAACATTTTTCTCAACTTGTGTTTGATCTCTGCTCCACAATATCATTGAATTCTGATACATTGGTGACTCGTGTGAGGTGCTATATCATTCTTCTTTCAATGCAAACATGCGTTACTGTTCGGTGCATGAATGGAGACGTTCAATACTTTGTTTTCATCGCATCTTCCAATGCCTCCTGTTGACTACGTTTGCTACACAGTGCACAAACTTCTTTTATGGCCTGCCTTTTGACTCATTTTGAAAATCTTCTGTGATTTTCGTCACCTTGTTACTGCAAAGCTGCACTTGTAGAAGTCAAATCTTGTTCCAACCACCGATTGCGAAAGAAGTATCTCTTTTAAGATCCAAACCTAGATTTTTTGCTAATCAATATAAATGCAATCAAATCCGTTTTACTACATGTTTACTTAGCGCTCTTGGGTACCCAACTGCAATTTACAAAAGTTAACAATCCGCCTCTGAATGTCCGAAATCTGCTCGAACTATTTCTTGCTGTGATCTTCTATTAAATCGTAACACCATAATCCAATGGTCTATCGTCCAATAAAGCATATTGTTTTTATCATTTAATTAAAGCTGACCGCTGTGTCTATTTATTATCATGACCATGTTGGCTTGATCTCCATATTTTTATCTCTAATATTCGTATGCGAAGGGAGATTAGTGCTTCATTTAATTCCAATTAATTTCCTATTAGAACATATCTGCCTCCTGGTATTTCCATCTTTGGTTTACTGAGGTGCCCTTAGTTGCTAATCTCTAAATCCTGCCCAACTTTAAAGCCTCATTCTCTCTATTACCTTTGTCTGCTTTGTTTTAAATGAAACCCTCCAAGTGTTTCTCAAACAATAGGAAGCCATTGCAAATGCACGTTACGCTGAATCTAGAAGGCTATTTGAACTGTACTCCAAATTTCACTGCAGATGCTCTCTGCTTGTGTATTCTATCTAAAACACTCGCTTAACTTCTAGTTTTGAAACTTTTTGTCATTAAGTCTACCGAAAAAGCACGAAATAGGTTTTCAAAGCAATGCCAGTCCATGTAATTTCAAGCTCACATGCGAGCAGAATACTACACGATTATCACTGTTTTTGTACCCTTTTCCAGGCAACAACACTTCTTAGAATGTTTCTCATTTGCTTTCGTAAGCAGAGATTTCTCTTTATTGTTTTTTATTTGGTCAACGCGAACAAAATCATCAACCCAATAACAGAATTTTTCCTATGCTTTAAGCTTGTTCTCGTTTGCTTACATAAACGAAAGAGACAGAACGCTTCGAAATTGTTGGGAATAAGCCTTCTAAGACAAGGAACAATGATATGATACAGATGATAACATTTGAAACCAGAAATACTCCGAAGATGTCGAGAGAATATTCTTTTTTGCATTTTTTGCTTTCTGTAAAAAACTTGGCTTCTTGTTAGTTTCCTCTTCTGTCTTCTTGTCACATCCTACCTTCTTACCTATAGATTCTTGCAGATTTTCATACTCTATACAATTTTAACGAGATTGTTGACAAAGTCAGTCGTGCACGTAACTAAAGATGCCAAGTTGCAAACAGTTTCTTTCTCGACTACATCTGAATCTCCTTCCTGATTTTTTTAGAATTGCTAGATATTTTTTCTTTTTCTTTCTACATGAAACAACAGTCAATTGTTTTGGTTTCCAAACTTCCAAGGAGTTACCACGGAGAAACCACTGGTTACTCGCTACGGTTCATAGTTCAATACTTCAGGGTCAATACCAACTACTTTGAGTCTTTTTCTCTGTTTTTCTTTCGTTGCATTTTATTCAAGCCTTTCCTTGCTAGCAAGACTTTAACAAATAGCTTTCGAAGTATAAAAAACTTGAAAAGTAACTTTGTGGTGAATAATTAATATTTCTTGAATGATATGACTCGAAGTAAATGTGTTTCCGAAAGATTTACTTCATTTCAACATTATCTTTACAACATGAGCACAGACCTGTAAGGGACTTGTATTTTCCTTTGATGAACACTACAACAACCCCCGTCAGTGAAAAAGTCATTCTTACATGTACATCACTTCTTAAGCTGTTCAAGAATAGTTGCATCTTGGCTTTTCTGAAGCTATCCCGTTCTTGCTGAAACCTGTTTCTTTTATCATCATTAATTTCAAATCATCTGAAAGAGCCTATCCCGCTAATGGGCAGCGTGAAATTCTGTCTAAATTTAATATCCTAAATTATAAACTTATTATTCCCTTCTTTTCTGTTTTTTGCCGCTAGTTACACCGCTAACACTTTAATCTTCTACGCTTAATTTCATATTGTGTTATCAAGCATGTGATTGCATTCGAGTCCGGATTGCAGCCAGTTCTGGATTGTCATCTTAAGTTCGATTCGGTTTTCCCATCGATCCATCCAGTTCAGGGCTTCGGGTTTCAAACATTAGCCGTCAATCCAGTTGTTATACTCAGTTCTGGCAAGATTAACCGATTCTTTTTGTAAGGTGAATTTCGGCCTGTAAAACAAACGTAAAGGAATTAGTGAAGGGATAGGCTGCATAATCCAGTAAGATGCTTAAAACATAAGAGCATTTAAAAGATGTCTTAGGGAAACTGCTATGCAGACCCATTAGCACAAGGTCTAAAGAATCCTGGCATCTGTCAAAGTAAACTCTGTTGTTTTGAATCGTGGAAAGCTGCGTCTTAGCTACAAGCATCTGGATTGCTTTCCTTTTTATTTCTGTTAAAAGTTGCATTGGAGAACGATGAATTGTTCGCCTTTTTAAAAAGGTATGACAACAGGCCTTGTCTATTGGAGAAATACTTCTCTCATCTGTTATTTCCATGGCATCTACTGTTCAAGTTTATCTTCAATTGTGGCGTACATACATTGTTTATTGAAATTACAACTGTGAATTATTGAAGAAGCTGGTGTGGCTGTGGATTCCCTTTTCCACGTGCTAGTCATTCGAATAAGAAGCACCGTTGAAATGTGAGTAAAGCAAGCAAGTCTGTTTATGAGTCTTAACCAAAAGCTAGCATTGTTTATTCACTCTGCAACGAGTTTAACATTCTCTAGATTGCTCAAAGCGTGCGTTTGAAAACACCAGTGCATAACAGCGAGTAAAAATGCAGATAATGGCTAAAAGGGGGTAGGAAACAGAGCACTTTGTTCTTTGTTGAGAGTACGCTAATTTCACTTCTCTCAACCCCATAGGTCCTTCTGGCCTTGAACCTTCGATCGATAGCGGCCATAAAGTTCCGCCTTTAACCAATCCAACAGACAGCCCAACTCCTTCTGACAGTACATGGCAAAAGGGTAGGAAATTTGTAGCAATTTTGTTCTTAATTGGATTAAGATTAATCCGATTTCGGATTAGCAATCCTGCTGCTACATATTGAGATTAATACGAGGTCACACCCCGGTCTAATCAATTGCGACACAATAGCCACTCCCGCGAGTTCCCGCGTTTATAGAAAGTCCTGGAAATCTTATGTGATCAAACCGGAATCGAATCCAATCTTCGTTTCCGCGCATAGCTAGGAGTCAGGCACTTTTGGCAGTGAGTCACAAACATTGTTTACCTTGGCCGCTCCTTCTTTTTCAGTTAATATGAAATTCCTTTCTTTTCAACTGACTTTCAAACCAGCTTCCTCACGATATGTTATTTACTTTCCCAATTCAAACGTCGAAGAAATTTCATTGAGAAGGATGACAATAAACTTTTCATACTGGTTCCTCTTAAAAACACAACAACACACCATTAGCAGATCGAGAAATATGCTTCAACCTTTCATTGCAACGATCAGTTGGGCGTCCGCGTTTTAACCCGCGGGTTTCTGCGTTTGCTTTAAAAACAGTAGGTATTATCCTGTCGCTATTCAGCGTAACTGGTTTGCGGCTTTTACAGGAATTTTCCCTGAATAGTCTTGTTAAATCAAGCTGACATACATACGATTAGGCTGAATAAAAACAATTAGAAAATATTTAAGAACAGCCCGCAGGCAGCTTATTCGCTCGGAGTTCGAAATGTATGTTTTGCGGGTTTGGGTGCGCTAATGAGCGCTGTCAACAACATTAACCTGTTATTGAAACACACTGGGTAATTTGCTGCGGTAAGACACCAGGGACGTTGATTAATTAAACAGGGTTTTCTGAACGACCGTCATTGTGTAACGTTCTTTGCAGAATCGGTAGATTGCCTGCGTCTATTTTGAAAACATGCCGGATGCCCTTTTATACTGCTGTATATTTGGCTCGTAGGCAGAATCCTCCCCCGTCGAACAAAACCCTCTGAATCCGTAATATTGTTCAATCCAGCATCGATTTTCTCGCTGCAAGCTCGATCTTGTGCTGATAATCCTGGGTTTGTTTCCTTAATCTTTGTGCGAACATGCATTTATTCTGCAGCTTTAGAGGTCAAAAGATGCATATAGCCCTTGTGCATGCCGAGTTAAATGGCAAAGAAATCCAAACTTCACAACGGCAGCTCCGACAGCGTAGTGTGAGTTTCGCCTAAAAGATGTTGAAGTTGAAACAAACCTGGTGATAGGACGTTTCTAGATAGATTCACCCAAATCATCTTTGAGAAATTTGTTTCGATAATTTTATACCCAGCACCTTTAGATTTTTCATACATTCGTACAATTACATTTTTATGAATAAACGAGAATCTTATGCCAGTTTTGAGCAATTGAGGTGCTACTGAATCAAAAGGCTAATAAAACTTTCAATGTTCTTATAAGCTGCTCCCAAAAGACTATATTTTGAAAAGAGCATCAAGCTTTTGGAGTTTTTTCTTTGTAAACTGGAGTTCTGCTTGAAGATAGCTAAAGGGATATATTTGCTTTTATGGGACTTGAAAGTTTAGGCCAAACTAGAAAGAAAATGTATTGAGCACCTTCATCGGTGAAAACTTGATAGACATGTAGGCAAGAGAAACGTCAATGTTTCTCTTACAGAGAAATATAATGCTCGTCTTTCTCTTTTAATAATGCAGCTTCGGAATCACTACCAAATTGACAATCAAAAGTTCTTTTGTGCCTTAAATGAAATTATGCTAACGTTATCACCGACATTTCGATTTAATCCAAGTAACCAAATCATAGGTTAATGTTTTCTTTTCAGAGAATCCAGTTTAATAACGATGTAATATATTTATTTGGGAAATTCTCTTCTCAAAGAACTCGCTTTTGTCCATGTTGATTATTTATTTTTGAAAACCCGATTATGTCATCTCCCGCGAGTCAACCCTCGGGAAACGAATCATATCTGACTTAACTTCAGTTTGCTCAGAGATATGCGGTTTCTTAGTCTTAGTAATCCATGAGTTCTCTTCTACGAAAAAATGCTTTGAGAACTTTTACTGTTCAACTGTGTCTTTCATAGCCTGAATCAGCATTATGAGTAAATTACATTATACTGGTTGCTGATCAGGAAAAATTACGTCCTTCATCCGACAACGGTACATTTGAAATTAGAGGTAGATGCCCTACCAGCGGCCGACATAAAGCAACTTAGCTCTTATGTTGTGCCATAACATCCACCTTTTCTACATCCCAAAAGGTCATCGGCTTATATTATTATCTGAAAGTGCCAGAGCTTACCCACATTAGTTTGTGATTCTTTCGACATGCTCGTTAGAAAGCTTCTGTTTTCGAGAGGCTACTAAAAGATGGCAGCAAACTCATTCCTTGGAAGTTTTAAATCGAGCCAAGAAAGCATCACGTCAAACCTTCATTGGAACCGTTGTTAACTATTTCAAGATAAAGGTTTTTGCAACAAGCACCTTTTCGTGTACGATATTTCAGTTTCCTTTCATATCTCCAGCTCATCTTTAATCGTTCCTGTATTATGCAATGATCTTCCAAAGTCATATCTTTTCTCAGAAAGCTAATTCATTTGCTCGGTCGTATTACAATTTGAACCTTTTTCACGTAATCAAAGCAATTAATTTCAAAACACTTAAATTATACTATCAAAATGAGTATTCTTATAAAATTATTTTTCAATTCAAGGAGTTCCTGGCCGCCCAACAGAAGTCAGTACAGGTGAGCTGAAAGACAACAATGTCCGAATATCCTGGACCCTCGGAAGGGACAACTACAGCCCGGTGACAAGGGTGCATATATTCTATCGAACTCTATATGAACCATCAGTTTGGTTTCACATTCAGACAACAAAGAATACTAAGTCACGTGGAAGTGCGACAGTCCTTCTTTCGCCTTGGGCCTCGTATCGCTTTCGGGTCATGTCTGAGAATGGAGTTGGTAACAGTACACCAAGTGCAGAGACATTTCCCTGGCTCAAGAGTTCTCCGCGAGGTAAGCAATAAATTTTCTTGAAAATAGAAAAAGTAACGTTCATGTCTGAAAACCTGTTAAAACCTCTGTTTTATATGACAACTAATGTATTTTGGGTAAAAGATTAGGATTTTTTCTTGGATTTGGAGCTATATATAGACTTTTCAAGCCATAGGTATTCTGACAAATTCAAATTTTCCTATTGTCAATTTAAGTTAGATATAGGACATCAATATTAAGCTCTTTAGCCGTTCATTCTTCTCTGATTTTACTTGGATGACGTTCTGAATATATCTGTAACCATTGTGTTGGTTCCTTTGACTACCCTTAAGTACAAATATCGTGCCAATATAGAAATTGTATTCGTTTTCTATGTTTCAAAATCCTTTGTTTCCTTTTACTAGGAAAATCCTATTAACAGGTTACCAAGAAAATAAGACTCGAAAGGAAAAGGAGATAAATTAATGATCGATTGAAGTTCTTTTTTGTTAGTGGGTGATCGTAAGGTGTGGTCTGCTAAATGTATGATCAACATATTTTCAAATTAGAAAGAATGATTTATATGTAGGCGGAGGAAGCGTGATTAATTCATTTACAAGAAGCAACTGTCAAATGAACATTTGCTTGCCTTGCATGAGAGTGGAAGACTTGAATTTTCGAAGCTTTGTAAAGCAGTTCGAAGCTGTCTGCATACGTCATTTAAGCAGCTATCAAAAACCAGTCATTTTAAGTCAGATAACTAGGAAGGATGATTGTAGACTTCTCGCCTTTATGTTGAATATTTACATTGTGGTGAAGAAAGTCGTCCCAATCTGGAGCCTTTTAACCTGATTGTTCTCTCTTTAAACCAGCGCCCTCTGCATATCCATCCGACCTGAAAGGAGTTGGAACAGGACCAACGGAGATCAAAATTTCGTGGCAGGTAAGATTTCTCCATTCATATCCTGTTTATTCATAGATCAGCAGTACTTTGACTGGGAAATCGTATATTATTGATGCTAATACATTGCCGTTGCCAATAATGTAGTCTCAATGACTGAAACCTTTCGAAAACGAGCATCTGTTTATAATGGACATTTCCCAACATGTAACGGATTTCGTCCTATACCTGAAACCTCCTTAGTATGGACACCTTTTGTTAGCAGGTACTTCCAATAACGGAGATCTCTCGGACCCCTCCAATTATCGGATAAATATTGTCCCATAGTTTATTTAATGTTGTCAAAGCCTTGTAGTAGCAGCCTGTGATGGCGTAGAGCTCCCAAAGCAGACATTCCCAATAACGGGTATTCTATTAAAAATAGGCTTCCCAAGAGGTCGGGCTAATATTGGCCTAAAATTTCTTACCTGTGTCCAGCTTCGAATATAGAGCATTAATTAACTAATTACCTTGTTTAAATAAACATTGCAATAGTGATTTTCATCATATAGTTGTTATAATTTTGTACTGACATTCAAACTAAAGTAATATTTTATTATATATACAAATAAGAAATATCGTTTTGAATAAAATACTCCAGTTTTCCACTTGTCCACCGACTGTTTACAGACTTTCATTTCTTTTATTCCTTTGATCCTTTTATTCTATAAATTTGCTATAATTTAGTACTGACATTTACACTACAGTAACTTGATATAACTCTCAAATACGTTTTTCTCTTATCCACTGTTTAAAGACCTTCATTTCTTTTATTCCTTGGGTATTGCTGACTCTCGAGCTCTCTTTTCAGCCACTTTCGAAACTGCAGCAAAATGGACCTGATGTCTTTTACAACGTCTTTTATCGAAAAAGTGGCACGTTTGGAAAAATGCGAGTGAACCAGGTTAAATATGGTTCATATTTGCTTGTCCGAGGCACAGAATATTACGTGCAATACGAGTTTAAGATACAAGCAGGCAATGAATTTGGTCTGGGTCCTGTTAGCCCAACTTCAACCGGCTTCACTGGGGAAAGGCGTAAGTATTTCTAAAATAAAGTTTTGCTTCATTGCTTTGAATTCCTTATCAGTTGGTTTTGACGAAATCAAGCAGTCATGCTTTCCGTGTCAAAATTGCAAAAATAAAGTAACCTGCTTGGCTTTTATTTTGACACAATGATGCAACGTTTCAATTTTGGCTCAATGATGCCACACTTGATAAACGTGTGTGTAGCAAAAATTACCAGTGTTTACACTGCATTAATGATCAAATTGAAGATAAAACAGAAACGAGAAAATGCTCTGCGATTAGTTTTGCAGACGTATGTCTAATTTGAACGACAGCCTCCAGACGAATGGACTGTAATCTTCCTCCCAAAACAAATTAAAAATTTCATGGGAGCCAGAATATTTGTCTTTAAAATTCCCCGTTTTTTCACCACAAAACTTTCCGTCTTCTACACATACTGCTAAATTTTTTTGATGTAAAAGTTTGCTTGCATTGCCGTTTTTGAGAGAGCAGTTTTATTTGGAATTACTAGAAGCATGCTTGCGGTATCACGGTGAAACATTGCTATTGAAGCATTATTTAAAACTGTTTTATTGCGCTTTTGAATTAAATATTAAAAGATAGAGTCTAGAACATTTGCATTGGAATTACGGGTTGAATTGAAGAAAGTTCTTGCTGCATGCCCTTGTCCTAATAATGTCACCCCGAAATGAAAAGAACTCTCTAGATTCGGTGAAAAACCTCATATCGCTCACTTCTACGTCACCAGTGCCACCATGAAGTAGATGTGTAAATAACAATGTAGCGATCTGGTTTTTGGTTTTATTAGCTTGTCAAACTGTCTCTCTGAAGTTAATCGCTTCCAAGAGCATTTTATTAAACTTTAAGAAAAGTCTTTATAATCCTTTTAGTTGCTGTAATTTCGTCTTGCGCCTAAATTTCGAAAGAGTGTGTCAAAGGTTTTTTCGTAGTGTTTCTCATTTGACTTGAGAAAACAAGGGGATTACAGTAGAACCGATATTGGCGGCCGTTCTCTTTGGCTGATCATATGATGTAAAAATTTGAGCTTCATACATTAGATAGAATAGTAGATTAGGCCCCTAAATAATGAAAGATATCTTTATTTTGATCTAGTAAACAACATGTTGAGTCTTCAGTATCCAGCCCAGATCAAGTGTCATTACTTAGGAATCTAATGGAGAATTGTTTTTGTTTGAGATTAAGTTCCCTGACCTTAGACTTGGCTCTCCTAAATTTTCAGCGGATCAGTCGATACAGATTAGATACCCAGTTATGTTCGAACAGTGTAATATATTACGTCACAGAATGTCATATTAACGTCATACTAGTTCCCGGAAGCATGATTGATTTTTCCATATTTCACCCAAGAAAAACTACTATGCTTTTAGAATCAAGCTTCTGTTGAGATCAAAATATGGTGTAAAAAGAAATAACGTAAAGGAAAATTCACCGATCTTATTTCCAACGGCAAATTTTGTTTTATGGTCGTTTAATTCAACACAGGCTTCTTATTCCTTATACTAAGATAATTATGATTTGCAATGAGATGTTTAGTTAAACAATAATAAATTTGACTCTTAATTTAATTGAGATTATTTGAGATGATTAAAGAATTGCGATTAGGTATCGACTCCTTAAGACAGGTGTTACCACAAAGCAGCATCAGTTAGTGAGTTGCCAGAATTTTCATTTTATCTCCCGCGCCGTGAGATAAGCCACAACTTTTTGTTCCCTTTAACTAAGGCATTTTCAAAGAGTCAAGACAACCTTTTTCGAAAACGATTGAACATTTTTAAGTTTACTTAGAATTTTCCTTTCCTAATCGGCAATCGAATTGTGACGAATTTACGTGCATTTTCTATTGCGCCCAGTCTGGTTTTGCTGCACGTATTCTTTGGTATCAAAGAAGAATCGATTTTGTCGCTTTGTGCCAGCACCCAGCAGCACTTCATCTTCTTGAATCCATCTCTTCTAACTTTTTCTTTGCCCCCTACCCTTTTTACAACCAAAGACACTTTACGACTGTTCTGCCATTCGTACTTAAGACTTTTCATTCCTTCACGTTATCTGCATTGATCGATGTAGTGTTATCTGTTCCACTCAATCATAGGCCCACTTGGTGTACCAAAAGACCTCCAAATCCAAATCAAGTCATCAAGAAGTGCTATTGCTTGGTGGAGGGGCGTTAAAACCGACAGAAAAATTATGCGAGGAAAATTTCTTGGATATAAGGTATGCATCTTCTCTGTCATCTTAACTTATCTTTTTATGCCTTTTGATAAAAAATTATTGCCGTAATAATTTGAAAGAGCAACCCCGCCCACTTCAAGTAAGCCCTCTTTTAAGCATCGAGAATAAGCCCTTCCCTTCGAAGTAAAGCAGCCATTTGATTACCATATTTTTGCATAAGCGCATGGCGTGAGATTCAATTTGTTAGCTCGTTTACACAGTTCATATCTATTTTTTTATTTTTTTCACAAATTTAGATGTTTTTTTAAATTTGTTCTGCATGTCAAATACGTCCTCTGTAACGAAGAGCAAGTTTTCAAAAAACTTCTTTCCCAAGCAACCCCTCTATTGAGTATCGAGCTTTCAACAAGAACCCCCCTGAGGCTCATTATTCGAATTGTTACGGCGTAATCCTTTTATTGCCTCTTCAATCTGCATGAGGAATTGTGTTCAATTGTGATATACCAAATGTTTTTTTCTTTTGCAGCTGTTCATTTGGCGAGGGTCATGGCCTGAAAAACCGAGGGACGCAATTTTCAAAACAACTCGTGCCAATAAGACTCAGGTCCAACTTAGCCCCCACACCTCATATTTGTTCCAAGTAGTTGCGTACAATAGTGAAGGTGATGGTCCGGGAAGTAACATAGCCGGTCCTTTTAAGACACCAGAAGATATTCCAGATCAACCAGCCTCAATAACGGTTGAAGATGCAGAAATGGGTTCGGCAAAAATTACATGGACAGAACCAGTGGTAACTAATGGTGTAATAAATGGTTACTCAGTGAAATACAGGGAGCTGCCGGGAGGTGATTACAAATATGTAGAAGTTGGTGGACAAAGGAAATGGGTTACAATTGATGGACTATCTGCAGCTGCGCTGTATGAGTTCAGCGTTGCAGCCAAGACAAAAGCTGGAACCGGAAGCTACCTTAAGAAGAACTTTGACTTTACATGGCGTAAGTGTTGAATTATGTAAGAATATGATCCTTGAGATTGTTGAGTTTAGGTTTGACCCCTGTATTGTTCCGACATTTCATGTTCTGGCGACTTCCCGACAAAAAGCTGTATGTTAACGGACTTTCTTCAACGGCAACTGACAACGAGGTCGTTGTTGCTTAGAGATTCGCTAACATGTAAGACTAAAGTTCGTCAGAATTCATTTTGACTACTGGCCTTTTCACGTCATCTTCGAATATTTTGAAAATTTTTATCGGTGCGGTTCTAAAATTTCACTTAAATAATATGCTTTCTATTTTAATTCATATGCTGGGATCCAAGTCGAACTTGTTTTTCTAAAGCAATTCAATTTTGTAACAAGGCAGACATTTTTTATTTGAATTCTTTTCATTTTAAGCAAATTTCAATTAAATGTGAAAGCTCCTTGAAAATCTCATTATTCTTTTAAATGAAAACACTGTCAAATTAAAGAAACGCTCTATATCTAGATAGATGTTATCCTGTTGTTTACATGATCAATTTGTTTTAATGTCAATTTAAAATATATGATTTATTTTTAGCTATACTTAAAAGATAGAGTGCTTTGTTCTAAAACCGCTCGCAGAGCAATGTATAAACAAATTAATTTTAGTGGTTTGGCTGAATCGAAGGAGATGTTGGAATGTTTTCATTTGACCATTTTCAGTGTTGAAAAAGCACTTGCTTGCTACTTTAGATCAGGCCTTTATATCAAGAAAGAGTTTCATTTCATACAGATCTTAACACAAATATTTCTTCTGCAAGCGAATCATGCAAAGGAGTTAAGGCAACAATGAAATAAACTGTCCATCATGGTTGGTTTTCCATTGTCCCAATAAGTGTTGCTAAGTATTCAACTCCCCTAGATCGTAAGGATTTGGTCCAATGTCAATCTTTATACTTCCGCATTTTAATTAGTTAGAACTGCAAGATTGCCTTCCTAAAATCTATGCTATTTATTATGCCAGAAGATATGAAGTGTGAGTCTATTTTCTTTTTAGTCCCAACCGTAAAACCAGATGGAGTTAGAGAAACCGCAGTTGGAGAGAGCACAATCGTGCTTAGATGGAACACCGTTAACGACCCTTCAATTATTGGATATAAGGTATTTCACTTTACGATTTAATTCTTATAGAATTTTAGACGTATTTGACGCTAGATAAGCAAAAAGCGTGTTTCCCATGAATTCATGTGAATTCTGATGCTATCAAAAAAAATCCCAGAAGTGTTTCAAATACGTCATAATTCGTTTCCTTTATTTGATATCTTGAAACCTTTTTGGATATATCTTGCTTATCAACCTCTTCTGTTTGTTATGTTTTTGTTTTCACAAAAAGATTTCGTGGTATAAGTTGAATATACTTATGAATAAAATATCTGACGCCCAGTGTTCCTTCTATTGCTCAATTCATACTTTATTAAAACCATTTCATCGTATCATTTCTTTGAATCTTTCGTCGTTTCACAGAACCGTTTTCACCAATTTATATTTGCTCTCGCTCCATCATGTGTTTCCTTCTTTTTCTTCTTCACCTTCCTTTTCTCTTCCTTTATCCCTTGTTTCTTCTTTTCTGTCATCATATCTACTTCTATTTTTGTTCTTTTTCCTCTTTTTCTTCTTTTTCTCTTATTCCTCTTCTTATTATTCCTCTCTTTTTCTTCGTCTTCTTTTTCCTTCTTTCTTTTAGATTGACCTTCTCGAGACTTAGTCCAGATTAGCTAAGGATATATCATATCGATCAAACACTAAACCATCCAACATCAACATGATTTCAATATCATCTTCTCTCTTCATAGATCTATTATCAAGCCGAGGATGGCACGATGAAAAACAACATCACGGTTGATAACGTGAAAGCCGAAAGAGAACTGTTGATAAGCTCTCTCAAATCAGGAACCGTGTATTTATTTCAAGTTTCCGCCATGAACCGATATGGTGCTGGCTCAAAGACCCAACCAAAACGTGTCAGGACAGTTTATGTGCCAACTACTCCAGGTAATATATCACCAAAGTCGTTTGATATTCCTCTGTGTTTCGTCTATTTGCTTAACCACTGCTTCGTATGACGTTTGTAAATCATACTCACGAAGTTTGTATGCCACGCTTGGCCGGAAAGTTGATTTGGCACACTGCTCAATAAAGTATGCAGCTATCAGAATTTAGAAAATGAGAACTTGTTTGTTGTTAGAACTGCCGTATTAACCTTGAGGCTTTTTACAATATTATGAACAATTATCAATATATTTTATTTCATGCATTTATTGTATTTAGTTTAATTTGAATATAGCTCAGAAGAGCGCAAACATATATCATACACCTTGTGACATTATCTGATATTTATACTCACTTCCGTGCTTTAGTTTCTTCGAGTAAAATGAAAATTTCAACAGTTTGGTTTTCAATTTGCCATCTTTAAAGAAATGACCAGAAATGACAACAGGACAAAAACTTCGCGAGCGTACTCCAGGGCACTTTTAGACGGGGTGTATATACGTTTTTACGCTTTACTCCAGAGCTAAATTCAAGCATTCATGCTACAATTGCATTTTGCACGGTTAGCTCACTCCTGTAGAGAGATAAAGCAGAGGGGCAGGGGAGCAGGTTGTTATGGAGGCTACAAATACTTGTTTAAGGGCTATTGCTTTTCTTTCGACATCCTTGTTATGAACTAACCTGAATACTTTGTTCCAAAATCTTCACATTTCAAAGTAAATTTCACATATCTCGCTTTAGCTGAACAAAGCGTAGAGCATCAGTCGTTGTCAATCTTCTTTGTGACGTCATCAGAACCCAATCTCCTTTACTTGCCCGCGAATTTTTTGTTAATCCTGGCTCAACTTGTTAATATCCAAATGTGCAACTTTCGTTATGTTTGAGTCGAATTCCTGTGTTAATTTTATGATTTCTCTACAGGTATAGCAGAGACGTCTACAAAAACAGAAGCAGAAACGACGACAATCATCACAAAAACGACTGATGGGGATATTGATAATTCCATCTCCTCCTTGAAAAAGCAAGCATCTGGCAGTTGTTCAAACGTGAATGAGAGGACATTCCAATTTTTGTTCTGGACGCTTACGACTTTGCTGTTAATTTTGAGGTAGCCACGGTCGATTCGGTGATTTGATTGCAATGATCATGTTCATTATCTCCCTCAAATCATCACTATAAATTGCCATATGACCAAAGAATCATTCATGTTAGAAGATATACTTGAATAAGAGGTTTGTATCTGAAACGAGGATATTGAATGATCAACGGCTGATGCAACTTTTGGATCATTCGTGTAACGATGCAATCATGAAGCAGCTATAAACAGTCAATGGATGCATCACAAAATGACGTCAGAGGTGATCTTTGACCATCTCTATGGCTTTTGAAAACTGGTGTATCGGTATTCGGTAATACTTCATGTAAACTTATTTATGGTAAGGCTTCGAAGAGGCGATTTGTTATCATAAGCTTCTGTCTGTCATTTGTAAAGATGACATTGGCAAGGTACAGTGCGAAGATCTCCTAACGCCAATTATCTGTAGAACCAAAATAGCGACATATGGCATATGGAATAAGGCATATCGATTGGCGTCCCACAGCAATTGACACCGAGCAAAATTTCAAAACACAGCGAGAAAGACTGTTTGAACTGATATGAATGCATTTCAGTCCTGCCAATTGGCACTTGAGAGTCATCATCGCTATCATCATCCTGGGAGTTTAGTAACAATGCCTTCTGATGTAGAAATTTCGTTTCTGGATTATAATTTTTGCTTTATGTAAATTTTAAGATCGTGAATACTCTTAATGCCAAACTGTTTTTTCTCGATATTGTAACTGTTGTATTGTAGTTGCAAAAAATGGAGGAAACCAACATTTTCTATGTTATTATATTTTTACAAAGTTTGAGTTTACAGAGGAATTTTCATTGCTTTGAGTAATTTTCAAGAATGGAAGAAAAAATCTTTATTGCTTGAAATTTTTTCATAGATTCATGCATAAAAAGCAGTCATTTTAAGACATGCAATATACACTACTCCGAAGCAAAGATTGATTGAGTTAAAATTGCCTCATTGAATCTGAACAACACATATAAGAGCATTTTGACTGATGCAAGTGACACCTATATCATAAATGACCAATTAAGCGCCCCACTTTCAAAAATGCGTCACGGGCCTAGTGTCAAGCACCACTGCCAAGTACCTACCCCCTAAATAAAAGAGGGATTCTTATTTGAACAAATATCTTTTTTTGGAAGACAGAGGTGCAAATTGTCAGAAGTTTATAAATTTTGATTATAAATCATTACATAAGTTAACAGTGATGACCAAATAAATAGCCTCTGAATGAGTCACCGGGAACAGTGTTGAAATTTTCAGTAAGCGCCCGGACGTTTATTCGGTCATTTGTGTTATTTGGCGTACAACCGCTCAGTGTATGATAATGCGCCCGGACGTTTATTCGGTCATTAATGTTGTTTGGCGTACAACTGGTCAGTGTATGATCATGTGCCCGGACGTTTATTCGTCATTAATGTTGTTTGGCGTACAACCGGTCAGTGTATGATCATGCGCCCGGACGTTTATTCGGTCATTAATGTTCTTTGGCGTACAACCGGTCAGTGTATAATCAAGCATAAAGACCATACGAAAGCACTGTGCAACATCCTCTGTTACCCTCTTTGTTGCAACTTGGCTGTTGTGACCCATTAGTTTCTATACTACCCAACCGCTTCCCATAAGCAAATAAATATACATCACAATATTAGCTCTGTAATTTAACCTACTGGGTAGTCCATTTTATCGCGAAAACAAAGAAATAAGCATCGATATTAAGGTTTCTTTAATTTTTTAGAGATCCGTGTACATTTTCGACCAGTATTATTTATTAGCATTTGCAATATAATGTAATTTTAAATTGAAATACAATAATAGTGACCTTGGATCTGTGCAAAGTGTTTCTTCATTTCCTGCCAATCATACTTTGTAACGGTATCAGTAGAGGATGTGTAATAGTCCTCAGGGGGTCAAATTAACTTTTTATATACTTTTTGTATACATTAACTTTAAATATTAGTAAAAATTTTCCTTGTGATCTGATACTTTTTGGTACCTGATTTAACAATATCAACTAATACATTACAATATCAAAAATAGAAGTAAGAAGCACATGTTTTTACACTGATTATTACAAGCAACTGTCTATATTACTATGACTAGTGGTCTCTGGTGTGCTCAACAACAAGTTTTTTATTGTGATATTTTCGGGTCCCATCAACACATATTAGCTGGCAATTTCGGTTCTTTAAGGTGATCTCTTTGATTCTTTAAGGTGAATTTTGATAACTTCAGATAGACCTCCACGTATCTTAAGAGTTTCACTGACTCCCAGGGGTAGTAACCATAGAGATAGGAATATAGATATATATATATATTGTATCAGCTGCACTCATTTGCTATGAAGCCGTAGCCATGCGTTTAGGCCTTAGGTATACGTTTCGGCTTCCTAGATCGCAGGTCTGGGGACCATGAGGACGAAAAAACATTGAAAACAGAAGAACTCAAGCTACCCAACCTATGCCACACGGAAACATTTTCAGAGTTTTGGCTTTTCGACAGTTGATAAACAAATATCTGAACCCTTCTCCTCACATATACAGTACAAAGTACATGGCCAGATCCAGACTCGTTTTCATTCGGACTGTTGCTGTTCTCGACCTTTAATCAGCACCAGAATATTATAATTCGTAAGGAAAAAAACAACATTTTTCTGGAATCTGATAGGAGATGTCAACTTGATGCTCTCTAATGTCGTCATGGGTTTTATTGGAAAGATTGGCGGTCAATTTTTCGATCAAAATTATGAGGCTAATGACATTGAAAAATTTGAATTTTTGTTAGAAAATTCGTCCTATAAAATCGGATTAAATAGGCAAAACGTAATCTTTGCAACCTAACAAAATATTTTGTATCATCACAACAATTCTCAAAATAGCATTTGACTGGGATATTAAGGGAAAACTTTTCGACAAAAATGTAAGGCTGATGCCTCTGAAAGACTGGCAATTTTTGTAAGAAAATGTGTTCGTTCAAAAACCGGTCTAAATGATCAAGGTATAACCTTTGAACCTATATGTATGTCATCACGGCAATCTTCAAACTGTGTTTTGACAAGAAAAATACTGATCTATTTTTCGTAAGAAAGTAATGCTGATGACTTATAAAATATGTTAATTTTAGTTACAAAGATTTTAAACTAATAACCTGTCTAAATAAGCAAAATATAATCTTTCAATATAATATAGTGTTACATAACATCATATCCGTCCTCATATCTCTACATACGCTTAGCGAGCTTGACAAACTATAACTGACGCTATTTACCCTTTCAAAACGAGAGCTGATAGAAAAGGATTTATACTATATTAAGAGTACATTCAAGAAAGTTTCGGATGAAAACTTCGTGGTCAAAAAATATGCATTTTAGAAAAATCTTCTTCCAAACAATGCTTTCTTAGAACATAAAAACTCTTTTAAGAGAGTCTATAGCCGATTTAAAAGTAATTATACTTCAAGTTCTGGTTATTGTTAAGAAGATTGACGAAAGTTTAGGATGAACAAGCTTTTACTCAAAAATCAGGTATTTTTGCAAGGCTTTAACCTTGTCCAAAACACTGTATCTTTAAAGTATGAAAACTTTTTTAATATAGTCGAAAGCTAATTTAAACTAATTTATGCTTTTTTAGATTAGATTCACGCAGTTTGTCGATGGAATTTCTTGGTAAAAAATCAGGTACTTTTGTAAGGCTATAACCATTCCCTTTTGCAGAAAAAACTTTAATCAAAACAAATCATGTTTTTGGCATAAAAATCTTTTGATAGAGTTTAGAGGTGATTTAAACGCTTTTCTGCTTTTTTTAGAGCAAATTGAAGCAGTTTTTCGATGAAAAAAATCTTGGTGAAAAATCTAATATTTTTGTAAGGCTATAACCTTGCCTTTTTGCACAAAAATCTTTAATCGAAACAGATCGTTTATAGGGCATGAAAAATCTTTTAATAGGGTTTAGAGCTGATTTATACATTTTTCTGCTTTTTTTAGAGCAGCTTGAAGCAGTTTTTTGATGAAAAAATCTTGGTCAAAAATCTATTATTTTTGTAAGGCTATAACCTTGCCTTTTTGCACAAAAATCTTTAATCAAAACAGATCGTTTATAGGGCATGAAAAATCTTTCAATAGAGTTTAGAGCTGATTTATACGTTTTTCTGCCTTTTTTAGAGCAGCTTTAAGCAGTTTTTCGATGAAAAAAATCTTGGTCAAAAATCAATCATTTTTGTAAGGCTATAACCTTGCCTTTTTGCACAAAAATCTTCAATCAAAACAGATCATTTTTAGAGGATGAAAAATCTTTCAATGGGTTTAGAGCTGATTTATACGTTTTTCGGCCTTTTTTAAAGCCGCTTGAAGCAGTTTTTTGATGAAAAAAATCATGGTCAAAAATCTAACATTTCTGTAAGGCTATAACCTTGCCTTTTTGCACAAAAATCTCTAATCAAAACAGATCATTTTAAGAGGATGAAAAATCTTTCAATAGGGTTTAGAGCTGATTTATGCGTTTTACTGCTTTTTTTAGAGAAGTTTTAAGCAGTTTTTCGATGAAAAAAATCTTGGTCAAAAATCAAATATTTTTGTAAGGCTGTAACTTTGCCTTTTTGCACAAAACATTTTATTCAAAACAGATCATTTTTAGAGGATGAAAAATCTTTCAATAGGGTTTAGAGCTGATTTATACATTTTTCTGCTTTTTTAGAGCCGCTTGAAGCAGTTTTTTGATGAAAAAAATCATGGTCAAAAATCTAATATTTCTGTAAGGTATAACCTTGCCTTTTTGCACAAAATCTTTAATCAAAACAGATCATTTTAAGAGGATGAAAAATCTTTCAATAGGGTTTAGAGCTGATTTATAC